GGGGTGAGGGGTCGCACTGTCACACTGGCTGTGGAGTGGGGTGACTCTCTCATTCGCAGCTAATTGTGACTCAGACAGACAGCTCCCTGTCCCCATCTCGAACGTTAACAATTCAGCATTGAATGAGTTAATCTTCAGGTTAAAGTTTGCTCCGTGTTTTTGAATCCAGATTCAATGCATACCATCATCCGTTGTTCCTTTCACTGTTATGTGAAAAAATGGTCTCCTTGTCTGAACATTCCCTGAAACCTCTTGGAAGGTAATTTCTGTTTCCTGCCCCAAGGATGACCTGAGGTTGCTAACTTTATTGCGTTGCTTGTACCAGCTGCCTCCATATGTGCTTAAACTGCGAAATGCAAATCTCTCAGATTTCAAATCATAAAATCATAGAATCCCTACAGTGTGGCAGCAGGCCATTGAGTCCACACCTCTCCTCCAAAAAGCAATCCACCCCATCCCTGTAACCCTGCATTTCCCATGACCAATCCACCTAACCTGCACATTTTTGGACTGTGGGAGGAAACCGGAGCACCCGGAGGAAACCCACGCAGACACGGGGACTTAGAGGCATCGAACTGCTCAGACCCTTCAGTCCAACTCGTTCATGTAGACCAGGTTTCCCAAACTAATGTTTTCCCATTTGCCAGAAATGGGATAAATTTCCCATTTATCACTGTAAACCCTTCCTATTCATGTACCCACCCAGATGCCTTTTAAATGTTGTAACTGTACCAGCCTCCACCACTTCCTCTGGCAGCTCATTCCATACACGCACCAGCCTCTGTGTGAAAAAGTTGCCCCTTATGTTCCTTTTATATCTGTCCCCTCTCACCTTAAACCTACACCCTCTAGTTTTGGACCCCCCTAGCCTTGGGAAAAAATCTTGTCTGTTTACCCTATCCATGCCCCTCATGATTTTATAAACTTCTACAAGGTTCCGACACTCAGCCTCCGACACTCCAAAGAAAATAGCCCCAGCCTATTCAGCCTCTCCCTATAGCTCAAACCCTCCAACCCTGGCAACATTCTTGTAAATCTTTTCTGAATCCTGTCAAGTTAAACAATGTCTTTCTTATAGCAGGGAGACCAGAATTGCACACAGTATTCCAAAAGTGGCCCTAACCAATGTCCTATACAGCCACAACATGACCCTCCCAACTCCTATACTCAATGCACTGACCAATAAAGGCGAGTGTACCAAATGCCTTCTTCACTGCCCTGTCTACCTGCAAATCCACCTTCAAGGAACTATGAACCTGCATCCCAAGGTCTCTTTGTTCAGCAACACTCCCCAAGCTCTCACCATTAAGTGTATAAGTCCTGCCCTGATTTACCTTTCCAAAAAGGTAGCCCCTCACATTTATCTAAATTAAACTCCATCTGCCACTCCTCGGCCCAATGGCCCATCTGGTCAGGGTCCTGTTGTACTGTGAGGTAACCCCCTTCGCTGTCCACTACACCTCCAATTTTCTAGAAACTCAACCCACTGCAACATTATGCAATTGCATCTATGTCTTTCAGTCTGAGTTCTGAATTTGCCTGATATTTTCCTTCGAGAAATCTGAGATTGTATTTTTTTTAAATGCTGGCAGGTTAAAGCAAGCCAGTATGGGGAGAGAGGAAGGCGTGGTTCTCCACAGGTGGTTCAGATTTTAATGTGGCTTCACTTTAAAACCGACACCGGAAAAAAAAATCTCAGGAAGTGGAATTAAAACGAACTGCATGTGTGTAAAGGGCAGCGGGAGAGCACGGAGGAAAAAGTGGGGGGGGGGGGGGAGAGAATTAGGGTCAGATGGCAGGCAGTGCCTGTGTCTCAATGATGTGCTTTGTTCTGCTGCTCAGTCAAATGGAGAGGGTGGGCTGGGGCTGGGGGTTTTGATAGATACACAGCCACCGTGATCTGTGAGTGGGAGTGGGCTCATGGTCTCTCTGACGAGCTCTGCCAAGACTGTGGACAGAAGCAACACCGGTGTCAGAATGGCCAAAATCTCCTCCCTATACCAGGATCCCTGTATTCCTCATTTCCCCAGCCCCCCTGCCCGCTGGGATGTAGTACAGCGCAGTGCAGTGGGGAGGGGAAGGGAAGAAAAGACACCGGCAAACGTTCCCATATTCAGCAGAGAGACACAAAGCTCCTTCTACAGAAGCTGTAATGCAGTTTCAGTCGTTCACATGCTCTCCAATTCCAGGCTGTCAGACTGTGGCAAGGGAAGATCCCATTTACCATCTGGATAACCCCCCGCCCCCCCAGGTCTTTGAGTGCTCACTGCCCCCTGTTTCATGTCACCGCTTGTTCTCTCACTCACTCACTGACCTCCAAACAACTCTATAACGCCTCCTGACAGCCCTGTCTTAGCCCCTGACCTCCAAACTGCATCCCCCTGCCCCTCCCGAACTCTGCAGCCTGTCTCACACTCTGCCCCCTCAGCTCCTGTGTAGCTGCACAAGGTTAAATCACTAGCTCAGACGCTCTGTTGTAAAGTATTGCTGAGTGTGAGGGGGTGGGGGGAGGGAGGGAGGAGCACAGAGAAGGAGAAAGGAGTAAGTGAGTGTTGCTCTGGCAAGGGCCTGAGAGAGCAAGCACTGTGAAAAACAAAACCTTAAATACTACAAAAATACAAATAATCTCAGGAATGGCCTGCAAATGATTAATGGAGTCTTCTAAAATTGTTTCAATCATTAACCAACTGTTTATTTCACGGTGCCCCTGATCCAAAAAGCTGTACACGCTCAGAAAACACAAAAACAGCTCTGCTACTTTAAATACAGGAACACGTGTTATTAGGCTTCAGTTCCTTAACATCAACACTCCCAGAGCAGGGACAGCATGGGGTTAGATACAGGGTAGAGCTCTCTCTACACTGTCCCCCATCAAACACTCCCAGCACAGGTACAGCACGGGATTAGATACAGAGTAAAGCTCCCTCTACACTGTCCCCCATCAAACATTCCCAGCACAGGGACAGCACAGAATTAGATACAGGGTAAAGCTCCCTCTACACTGTCCCCTATCAAACATTCCCAGGACAGGGACAGTACGGGGTTAGATACAGAGTAACACCCTCTGTATTGAAGTGTCTCTGTAAACACATCTTGTTCTTGCTCCTGCTTTTGCTGGACAGTCTGTTGTGTGGGTGTTTTGGACCGGTCTTTATAACTGAATCTGGACTGTTTGGAGGGGAACATGACCTGGGAGTCAGTAAATCCTTTGGCCCCAAATTAGTGGGAAGCCTTTTAAAAACCGGCAGAGCTAACTGAAAAATCAATAAGGCGGAGAAGATGAAGGTAAGTTAGCTAGTAATAAGAAAGAAGATTGCACGAGTGTTTTTAAATATCTATAAAGTAAGAGAGAGGCAAGAGTGGGCATTGGACTGCTGGAAAATGAGGCTGGAGAAGCAGTAATGGGGAACAAAGAAATGGTGGAGGAACTGAATTGGTACATTGCATCAGTTTTCACAGTGAAAAACGCCAGGAAGCAAACTAGAACTTCAAGGGAGTCAGGGGCAGAGATGAGTGCAGTGGCCATCACTAAAGAGAAGGTGCTGGGGAAACTGAAAAGGTCTGAAGGTGGATGAACCACCCAGATCAGATGGTCTACACCCCCAGGGTTCTGATGGAGATCGCTGAGGGGATGGTAAAGACACTGTTGGTGATCTTTCAGGAATCACTGGAGTCAGGGAGGGTCCCAGAGGACTGGGAAATGGTTAATGTAACACCCTGTTTAAGAAGGGAGAGAGGCAGAAAACAGGAAATTATAGGCCAGTTAGCCTGACCTCAGTCGTTGGTACGATTTTAGAGCCGATTGTGGAGGACTCAGAACTGCCTGGTAAAATAGGGCGGAGTCAGCATAGCTTCATCAAGGGGAGGTCAGGCCTGACAAATCGGTTAGAATTCTTTGAGGAGGTAACGAGCAAGTTAGACAAAGGAGAGCCAGTGGATATGATTTATTTGGATCAAGGTGCCACATAGGAGGCTGCTAAATAGGATAAGAGCCCATGGTGTTAGGGGCAAGGTACTGGCATGGATAGAGGATTGGCTGACTGGCAAAAGGCAGAGTGTGGGTTGTAAAGGGGTCTTTTTCAGGATGGCAGCTGGTGACTAGTGGAGATACGCAAGGGTCCGTGTTGGGACCATAACTATTCATGTTGTACATTAACGATCTAGCAGACAAAGAAACTGAGGACATTGTCATAGAGTTGTACAGCGCAGAAAAGGCCCTTCAACCCATTGAGTCTGCTCCAACATAACTACCACTAAATGTGCTCTAATCCCAATTTCCTGCATTGGTCCCATATCCTTGAGTGTTATGATACTTCAGCATTTGCTGATCCAAATATTTGTTAAAGGTTGTAAGGTTTCCAGCCTCCAATACCTTCCCAGATAGTGCATTCCAGATTCCCAGTACCCAGTGTCCTGCCATTCATCTTGTTTCTTCTTCCAACATGCATCAGCTTGCATGTATCAGGGTTAAATACCATCTGCCACTGGTCTGTCTATCTGACCAACCCATCTGCATCTTCCTGTAACCTACAACCATCTTCTTCGCTATTAACCACCCTACCAATCATGGTGTTTTCTGTAAATTTGCTCAACGTTCCCCCGACATTTTCATATATATCATTTATGTATATA